TTTCATGTGAATGTCAATGTACAGAGAGGTCGTGCCGCGTCGCGTCAGCGTGAACAGCTGTTGTGTGGTTAAAAATATTAAATTTTCAATGGATATATATACAAATACATACATACATACATACATCTAATAAATGTACATGTGTATGGTATATGGAATATTGAAAAAATATATATTTTTTTTTCAACAAACACACGCAATGCAGACGTGCACAAAAACACGAGAAAATATAGTACATATATAATTTTAATTAATACCCGAACGTTTTTTATGTGAAAAATTTAAGTAATTTATTTTAAAACAAAAAAATGCAAAATTTAAAAATTGAGTACATAAAAAAATTGTCGCAAGTAATTATTCAACATAAAAACAATTTCCTTACAGGTCACTCACCATTAATCAGAATAAAGGAAAATTTATATATTACATAAAAGTATACAATTAAATTATAATATTGGGTTGCCCAAAAAGTAATTGCGGATTTTTTAAAAGAAAGTAAATGCATTTTTAATAAAACTTAGAATAAACTTTAATCAAATATATAATTGCCATTTTGTTCGATAACCTTTTGTCATCTTCCTGGCAAATTTAGTATTCCACGCCCATAGAACTTCTAGCCTTTATCTGCAAAAAACCGAACCAAATGCGATTTTATAGCCTCATCATTGCCTAAAGTTTTACCACATAAGGAGTTCTGCAAAGATCGAAATATATGGTAGTCTGATGGTGCAAGTTCAGGGCTATATGGTGGATGCATCAAAAGTTCCCAGCCAAGCTCACTCAGTTTGTGGCGAGTGACCAAAGATGTGTGCGGTCTAGCGTTGTCCTGGTGGAATATGACACCTTTACGATTGACCAATTCTGGTCGCTTCTCCTTGATGGCTGTATTCAATTTGTCCAATTGTTGACAGTAAACATCCGAATTAATCGTTTGGTTCCTTGGAAGCAGCTCAAAATATACGACACCCTTCCAATCCCACCAAACAGACAGCATAACCTTCTTTTGGTGGATATCAGCCTTTGAAGTGGTTTGAGCTGGTTCACCATGCTTGGACCATGATCGTTTTCGACTAACGTTGTTGTAAACAATCAATTTTTCATCTCCAGTTATGATTCGTTGAAGTGCATATCACAAGCGTTGATGCGGTGTGTTAAATGAATTTCTTTCAACACATGTGGTACCCAAATATCAAGCTTTTTCTCCAGTCCAAGACTTTTTATGTGATAATGAACGGTTGATTTTGGTATACTTAACTTCTCTCCTATCTCACGCTCAGTTACATGACGATCCAATTCGATTAATGCTTTGATTTGGTCATCATCAACTTCATTTGGCCGACCTGAACGTGGCTCATCTTTAAGTGAAAAATCTCCAGAACTGAATTTGCGAAACGAATTTTGTCACTATCTTCCTTTTAAAGCTTCATCACCATACACATCTCGTAAGTTTTTAGCAACCTGCTCCGCGTTTTTTCCTTTACGGAAATAATAAAGTAAAATATGACGAAAATGCTCCTTTGTCGGCTCCTTATTAAAATTGATGCCAAACAAACAAATGTAAACAAAATTTCGCACACTTTTTTCCTAAAGCAAGCTAAAAGTAACAGCTGATAACTGACAGAAGAAAGAATGCAATTACAGAGTCACAAGCCGTTCAAAAAATTTGTCAATGCCGACTATATGAAAAATCCGCAATTACTTTTTGGGCAGCCCAATATTTATTTTTAATTATATACAAAAAAGCTTAAGAGCGAGCGAAACATTAACCTTGTGTAAAAAAATAATATAAAAACAATATTGAAAAGCCATTTTCCCAAGCGAATGGTGTCTTAATGGATTAAGAAAATATTTATGGACTTAGGGTTACAAAAAAAAAAAAAACAAAAACCAAAAGGAAAATGCTTTGCCAAATACTTTAATGGTGCGTAGGAATACAAAGTAAAATTTCCGTTTGCTGTTCTTTTTTTTTATAAACACGTAATACTAAACATAAAATTAAAAAAAAAAATGGAAGTAATTTATTATTTTATACAAAAAAAAACAAGTCTTACGTTAACATGCTCTTCTTTCTGAATCTTTATTTACAAAAAAGGTTTTACTCACAAATGAAAACTAAAGTGTATATAAATATATGTATTTACGTGGTTACATAGTTATTTTCTTATTAAATGAAACTATAAATCGTTTTTCTCCCAACTGTGTTGTTGAAGTCGATTTTCAAAAGACTTCGAAACTCCTAAACTGATTTTGTTGAAATCTTACACAGGAGCCTCTGCGGGATAGGGGTTCAAGAATGTTTTACATAAGAGGTGACTAAAATCCGAAAGTGTCCACGATAGTTGTTTCTTTTTAATGGAATAACCTGGATTTTTATGTTTGTTTTTGTTTTGTCATGAGTTCTACTGTGAAAACAGACGCCCATCTTTTTCTCCAGGGTTCAGGGAACTGAGGTGAGGAGATGTGGGAAGCTACCTTTTGATTTTTTACTTATATTAAATTGTGTTTAAGTTACTTTCATTTTGTACTTTAAATATTTTTATTTTTGGAATAATAATAATTTTGGGTTTTAAAACATTCAGATGTTGGATAAATTTTATTAAAAAATTAAAATAAAAAGTTTTCATTAATATGAATATATCTTGGTAAATCTACATACATACACATACATACCTATAGGAATTTTGAATAATTTTTTTAGAAAATTTAAAAACTTCTGCCTCGAATGTATTCTTTAAGACAGTAAGAAGATTGAATAAAATATAAAAAAACGTTTAAAAACATCTCCTTTCCGGCTCGAATATATCAATGTAGCCGGCCTTAAATTACTTTAGATTCTTTAGAATAATTATATGACAATTTATAGCATTTAAGTGTAATCAATGTTCTCGCAAGGCTTGTTAAAGACCGGTGCCACTTTTACACATCAAATATTGCAAATTTCGCTCTCTCCCCGGTCTTGACATTTAGTTGGCAAGACTTCAAATTAAATACAAAAGAAAAAATCGTTAATGAACCGATTGAAGGTGAGAATTTCAACAAGAAAAAAACTGATAAAAGTAAAAGCAAATGAATATACATATGTATGTATGTATCGTATAAAGAAAAAGGTCGTCGAAACGCTTACAAAAGACAAGGGGATAATTAGTACTTACATATGTACATATTATATACATATACGTATTATATACGTAAAGAAGCAATGCTGGGAAATTAGCATAATTGCATATACTTTTATGTCAACGGATGCACATATGTATATGTACGTACATGTCTAATGACTTCCATATGTACAGGAGCTATATCTTTGCAAAAACACTCTGTACTAATTGTTTATAAACTCTATCCGTGGCAAAACAGGTAAAATTAGAGTAACAATAGGTGATGTACAGATGTATCTAATGATTTGTATATACATACACACATAAGTGGCAAATATCATTAAAAAATACATCATGTAACGTCAAGCTAAAAATTAGTCGTTATAAGGAGAGAGATCATCTAAATGCAGAAAAACGCCCCAAAATGTTGTTTGAGATTTATCAGAACTGTTCTGAAATCCGTTTTCTATAACAAAAAACAACAAAGAATTGAATTCAATGGGTATTCAATAAACATATTCTGTAACCGTCTATCGAACTTAAAGGCACTTTTCTGGGGCTCCGAGCTGACAGATCGTTTTTCCGTAAACGGCGGCGGCGCTGACTTTCACATTTAGAGATTTTTTTTATTTCGGTGGCAGCCGCAAATGGATATCGCTTTGAATATTTAACAGCAGACTTAACTAATTGAGTGGGCATAACACGTCTCCGCTCCCGTTTTTCGACACCCGGTTTGTATTTTCTGGCGTTTGGGGCCATCGTGGGGGAACAACCAATGATGTTTTGCACTTCTCTATAGGTTTTTCCTTCGCCAATCAGCTTTTTAAATAAGATCCCATATCTCCGGTGTACAATTATTTTTTCATGACATCACTACATGCAGCATGATGAAAATTTTCACATTATAAAACAAATACTGATAACAGAAATAGTTCTTAGCGGTTCCTTAGTTTTTTAATCTCAAAAACAAAGAGAATTAATTTTTTTGAACTATTCTTGATTGCGCTACTAAGAATTTGAATGATCAAAAACACATTTTTCCTCAAAACTTAGCCGATTACAATAATAACCATAATTCGTCATGTCGGCGCCTTAATCTAGCAATATTTACAGTCAAAGCGAAAAAAGTCTGTAAGACAAATTTACGATGACTTATATTTAATTAGCAAAATCACTAGTAATATTTTAACCTCAACTGTATGCTCATACATACATATGAGCCTACATATAAACGGCAATAGCAATAGAAAATGTTAAGTCAATTATTCAAAAGCAACGAAAAGTACAATATACCTATAGAGAACATCAGCCATTAAAAAGATCTCCCAGAAGTCGTTACTACTTTATTTTGTTTTGTTTAATCCAACTACACAAAACAGACATACATACATATGCATGTATGTACACATCTAAAATATTTTTTTCATAACTTGGACTTTGTGCACAGCATGGCAATCAGCTGATGTCAAAATCCGTAAAATTAAACTAACAACAACAATATCAGCTGTGCTTTTGCACAGCGCAATGCGCTGTCGCTATTGTATTGTACATACTTGCATACATGCATACATATGTATGCATATGTATATACATATATGCAACCAGTGTGCTGAAATGAAATAACTACAAAAATAAATAACAAACACTACCAAGAACAGAAACAAAAACATTAGAATGAAAAATATAGGCAAATTGAGAATGGAAAGTTCCCGTGAAATAAAAAAAAAAAAAAAAACAAATAACACACAACAAACAAACAAACAAATGCACGAACGCACACTTGTAAACTGCAGCTCCCTACAACTTGTTTGCTTTTTGTTTGAGATTACTATTTGCAATTAAATTTTTTTTCGTTCCTTGAATTGAATACAAACATATGCATGTATGTAGCTTTTTACTTACACTTTCTGCTTCCATCTTTTGTGAATGTCATCCAAGTTTGCCCGCTACGCAGCATTTTCGGCTGATGACGTATGAATGTGTTCATTGTTGTATATATTGTCCCTGTTCGCTTTATATGCACTTTTTTCCACACTTTTTTGCACCCTAACTATTTTTGTATACAGTCGATTTTGTTTTGTTGCCAGCCTTATGGTTTATATCGCAATTTTTTACTATACTCCTGAAGATTTATTTTAGTTTTTTTAGTTGTGCATGTATATATGTAAGTTTTTGGGCGGCTTTGGTAAAAATCGATTTCCAAAAATTGAGGTTTTGAATTTTTATCAATCATGTAATATTTACGACTGAAAGTTAAAATAGTATCAAAAAAAAAAAAATAGCACAAAAACAATTTGAAATATCCAAACGCAAAAGGAAAATATAAATTCAATTTTGCAAGCTTTGTCTATATTTTTAAAATTATGGAAATTTCCTCTAGTAGCTGAGCGTACATATTTAATTACAGCAATTTATGATTATTTTGTATTCTTTTTTGATAGCTTTTCATATTTGGGAAACTAAAAGCAAAAAGTGAGAACTTTTCTTCTTATTGGTTCTTTATTGACAATTGTTTTTATTATTGCTCATTCTACGTATACATGTGTATAGTGTTAAATACATATAAATAAATGTCTTGGCTATGCTTCATCAGCAGCGAATTTGCGCTTTGCTAAATAACATGTAGGCACTTAGGAGGGGTAATAACGTGGTCGATTGGCAGTGGCCGCATTACACAACTACAGTGAAATTTTCATTTGATTAACTAGTCCAGCTAACCAATTCAATGGATTATAAGGCATTATTAAATTAATTTATTTTAATAACAATACACAAAACAGATACAGGGGCAGAAGTATTTACAACTAGCAAATAAAGAAAATTCTATCATTTTCAAAATTGAATTAAATAATTTCTATTCATGTATTTGGTTTCACTTTTTAGCATAACAAAAAATATAAGTTGTATTTGATTTCACGTCCGCGTTTTTACTTCCATCATCTTTTTCTTATGATTCACAATATTTTCGCCACGTTTTCTTAAAAATAGTTAATCTATTTATTTTATAAACCGAACCTTGGAACGTTTCCTAATATTTATGTGAATTTTAACTCGATTCTTATTGAACTGATTCGATTCTTAACTGATGATAAAATCAGAAAAATACTCGTTTCTCCAATTGCTTTCTTTTGCTAATCATATTTCATTATCACATAATTCTTTGACTGGAATATAGTTGCCAACGCTTGACAATTTCGTAAAAATAATGCACTAACAATATGTTCACATCTTCCCGTAGCAAACACAAGGATTTAATAATTTAATGATCTGCCAAAATAGGGAAAAAGCTTGAATATTGTAGATACAAATTAGGCGACTTTCGGACGATATTTTCACTAGGGAGGTGGCGGGAGTGGATAACTTACCACTGAGTAATTAAAGCATGGCGACGAGGAACTATTCATACGTATGAACCACCGTTTGTTGGCATAGGCATGGTGAATGATTAAAATATGAGTACGCTTACTTGATATCGCATATAAGATCCTGTCCTCGGTTTTGTGATAAAATCTTAAACTCACCGTCAATGAAATTTTCGAACCTATGCTGCCTCTATGTCGCTATCTATGAATTTGATATCCCCTCAAAAGTTTTAGGACTGTATAAACTGACGCTGAGTATTACTAAACACTTTTGTTAAAACTTAATATTAAAAGGAACTGAAGAACTAATTAAAGAAGGTATGACATTATATAAGAGTGTACTATAGTTGGCGTATGCCGAAGATAGGATTGCCGTTAGTTTTGCTTTTTGATTTATAATGGATGGCGTATGGGCTTAATAGCAAAGGGGAACCAATTGTAATATCTTCTCTCATCAAACCAATAGACAACAAACAACGCAGATACTATAAAAGTCCCTCTTCATTAAGTTAATGGCTCAATTAAAACACAAACTGTTGTTTAAAACTAAGAATATGAAATAGTCTCCTTAACGTGTTTGTCTTGTTGATGTGAACTTGATATTAGCGACAGTGTGCGACTACACTCTTTTATTGTTTCTCAAGTCATACAAACTAGAACAACAATTGATGTTGGAAAGATATCTGACATTTTAACTAAAAGTAATTCTATAAACAGTTTTTGTACTGAATAATTTATTTTTCATAATTTTGCTAATAAAATATGAAAAGTTTTTAGTTTATTTCAACTTTTATAAAAAAATCTGAATCCAAAGAAGACCATATAATGGATGATTTAAATCCCTTAGCCGGCACAGCCCATTTATTGGAGGAAGTCGACAGTAAGTACCAAAGCAAATGGATAAACCTTATTAGCTGGCTTACATTTACTACACATATTTCGTTTTGTGTAGAAAAGTTGATGGTGTTGCTGCGCGATGGCCGCACTCTTATTGGTTACTTACGTTCTGTAGATCAATTTGCGAATTTGGTGTTACATCGCACCATTGAGCGTATACATGTAGGCAACGATTATGGCGATATACCACGAGGAGTTTTCATCATACGTGGAGAGAATGTGGTGTTGCTGGGTGAAATAGTAAGTGAAATCGCTATGAAAGATTTGTTCTCAATCAGCACATTTCTAATCTGCAGGATCGTGAAAAAGAGTCTAAATTGCCGCTGAAAGAAATATCGGTTGATGAAATATTGGATGCACAACGTAGGGAACAAGAACAAAGGCAAGAAAAACATCGTCTGATATCAAAAGCATTAAAGGAACGTGGTTTAGCGGTGAATACTGATATAATCAATGAAGACTTTTGTTAAGTTACATTTTATATTGTGACAATTTATGTATGAAATATTGTAAGAGACTAAAAGTAAGCTTGATAATGTAAAAATATGTTTGTTTTCTTTTAATAATTGTGTACTTGAAACAAACACTTGGTAATAGTCCTGAAATATTACTTTTTCACTGAATTGATGGATCATAGAGAACCTCAAATTATGTACTATTCACAACACATATTATATATTATTGTCTAAACGCAATGGATTATTATTAAAGCTAGTTTTAATTATGATTATGGTCGAATGAAAAAATGAACAGTTCTGATGTTTTTCGTGTAATGGGGAAGTGTTGCTCCAAGCATTCTTTCGCCGACGTGAACAAACTTCGTCAACTATCGAGAGTGCAGTTAAATGTAGTTGTGTTCAGAAAATCTTGCTTTAGAACAAAAGTCGAAACACATACCATTTTCATTTGTATATTTATTTCATCAAATGTTATCTGTATTACATATACGATAATTTGCAGTAATCTAAATGGTTATACATATGTATATACTAGTTCTTAGTTTCGCTTCATATTTTTTGTATGATAATGTGATATATTGTTCAAAATTTAAATCTATAATCAATTTGGAATCGAACCGGATTTGCTCGATTGTTGGGCTTTTATTTTAAGCGCTCTTCTTTCTCATCAATTGTCAGCGTGATAAGTGATCTTGTATTTGTGTTTCAAATCAAAACATTTAAGTAAAATTAAATATTTTGTTGTTTCTAACGTAGATAGTTGTTTCCTAAGCTAAGCTTTGAAGCAATGGAAACTTTATATATAACAAAACTTTATTTTTACTAGTTTTTTTTTGGGAATAATCTGTTTATGGGGGTTTTGTCTACCCAATAGGTAGTAGTACCCATTAAATAATTGTTTCAATTTGGTTTATAGTATGTATGGAATTTTAAGTTTGTCTTCATGGTTGGATTTGTGTTAAAAATTCTACTCCCCGCTTTTAGGTTATACCGCGTAAAATAAAAACAAAAAGTAACATTTAACATATATTAGCTGACTGAATCGTCTACGTAAATTTCTGTTTCTACAGAAATATAATCGTATTTTTTTCTAGTCTTCGCGCGGCTTGTGACTTCAGTAACCTTTATACAAAAAAAAATTCTTTTTTTCATATGGTAAAACTCAGGCTTCAAAGTAGTAATAAGTAAAATAATAATAATAATAATAAAACTTGCTATACTCATTTTACAAATGAAGCAAAAAAGTATTATTTGTCTATTTTTTATATAACTTTCTTTAAGATTTATGCATGTTTCATAAAATTATTATAATAATTGTTTTGCTAACATTTAATATGTACGTGAGTTTGTTCTCTGTTCACCCTTGCTTAACAACATAATGCCCTAATCTTATTCACTTGGCTTTTCCGCCTCCCCGCCCGTTGATTGCGTTGCGGCGTCTCCTTCATTGCTTGCCACTTTCTCTACTACAGGCATTTCTGGCGCTGGCTCCAATTTTTTATTGCTTTCATCAACCGTTTGTGAAATAGAAGGCGCTGGCGCTTCTGGTGCGGGGGCAGGTGCTGGCTCGGGTGCGGCATCTTCTTTTGCTGGCTGTGATTGAGGCGTATCATGTGACTCTCTTTCGACTGGTGGCAATTCTTGTTTCGGTTCCGTCAATGCTGGCCCTTCCACCACATTTAAAGTAGTGGGCTCGTTCTTTTGCACTTCTTCAATATCTTCATTAGACTTCTTGGCTGTGGTCTCAACATTGTCTTCTTTGTTCTTCACTATCTTACTATTATTAGCATCTCTCGCTGATTGCTTTGCTGTGCTTTCTGGTTTGTATTCCTCTAACTCTAGATCCCAATCGTCTTCAGTGTCCTTAAATTTGGAATTTGATTTTGTTGATTCACGAGATTCGTCGCGTGAGTTACGTCTGTCTGCACCTCGACTGCGGTCACGGTCACCTCGTTCGTTATCGCGGTGATCGCCACGTTCGGAACGGTCACGACCTCCGCCTCTACGATTGCCACCAGGACCACCGCGTCCATGCCATTCTTCGGGCCCATCGCGATCGCGGAAGCGGTTACCACCTGGACCACCAAGTCCACGACGCTTAAACATGTTGCCATCATCGCCTTCTTCGTCGCTCCAGCTACCTGGCGCACCGTGACCACCCATGTTGCCGCCGCCGCGACCACCGCCACGACCACCTCGGCCACCTCTACCACCACGACCGCCGGGCACATCACGGTCAAACGGGTTACGCGGATTGAAGAAACCTAAAATTAAGTGCACATTTAAATCGAAAATAGTATCTCGAAACGGTATAAAACGTAACTTTGTGTCTCACTAAATATTTTTCACACAATTATAATAATTTCTATTTACCTTGCCTTCCTGGAGCTTGAGCTTGACCAGGACCGCCTCCTGGTCCGCCATGACCACCACGCATGAACATGGGTCCGCCAGCGGGTCCACCCATACGTTGGTTAAACGCGTTCGGCGGTGGTATACGCATTTGCATAAGACTGGTTGGCTGATTGAAACGATTCTGCATATTGGGAAAGAAGTCACCGTTGTGATTGCCGCCCCCACGTGGTCCACCCGGACCCCCGCGCGGTCCCCCACGACCATCAAAATCTAAAATAAGAATAGTAGTATTTAACTAACGATGACGAAGACATTTTTAAAAGGTCAATATTTTCAATTACCATTCATAAAATCAGGACGATGTGGTGGATTGTTTATATCAAGCGCTTGTATGTTCATTGGCCCGCCGCCTCTACCACCACGTCCGCCATCGTTAAAATTAGGTGGTCCGCCACCAATACCACCCTCATTGAAATTAGGTGGTCCACCACCCATACCACCCTCATTGAAATTAGGTGGTCCACCACCCATACCTCCCTCGTTGAAATTCGGTGGTCCACCCATGCCACCATCGTTAAAGTTTGGTGGACCTCCACCCATACTGCCACCTTCATTAAAATTAGACTGTCCGCCATTTTCACGCCATCTCTTCGCGGCTTCTACTAAATCTACCTCTTCACGGGCACCACCTCGTTCGCTCCAGCGGCTACTTCCACCAGCGGCACCACGTTCCCGATTTCGATCGCGACTAAAGATATCACCAACACTATTATCGGCACCGGGAGCACCACCTGGACCGGTAAACATTGGTGGTGGTTGGTTAAAATTTATTGAGGGCGCACTCACTGGTGTTGGTATATTTGCAGAGCTCGGGCCGTCCTCTTCATCCATTTCAATGTCCATTTGGTCGTCGCTACTTGAGGCATTGGCTGCCACCGGTGGCGGAACAATGCCTGCTATTGCTATTGCATTCGGTGGTGGATGATAAGGACCTGGCCCGCCTGGCGGTGGCATTCCCATCGGCGGCCCCATACCAGGTGGTGGTCCATTACCTCCAGTTATCTGACCCGGTATGGGTGGAAAACCTTGTGGCATTATGCCTGCTGGCATCATCATTGGATGTGGTGGTGGCATGCCGGGTACCATGTTCGGCGGCATGGGTATACCGGCGATGGGCATCGGACCCATGGGACCGAGCATGCGCGGGGGACCGCCCATCGGAGGCGCCATTGGAAATTGTACAGGCATTATTGGCATTTTTGGTGGCGGACCACTTGCTGGTGGTGGTCCAGGTGGCGGTTGTGTGGTATCGATGCCAAACAGTAAACCAGCATTGCCAGCTGCTGCAGCCGGAGGTGCACCTGTTGGCATATTGGCCATACTATCTACAGCTTTCTCCTTTAAACTCTTCATGTGATTAATTTTATCCTTCACCCAGCCGGGCATGGAGTCCTCATCAAACATACCGCCTTCCTCTAATGCATCAAAATCTGTATCGGTATCCAATTTAGACCAAGGGATGTAGGTAACACCCAATTCTAAATCCCAAAAGTCTTTCCATTCTTTGCTTTTGACACCTTTACCGGCGGCCCAAGAGATAGTGATGGCACGACCCTGGAGTTTGTGATTTTTCAAATTTTGCATAGCCTTATGCGCATCCTGACGTCTATTCATCACTATAAATGCACAACCGCGCGGCACAATCAAATCAATGCTCACGATATCGCCGTAAGCGCCAAATGTATCGGATAATTCCTCCTGGTAGACAAGTTTTGAGAGATGGCCAACCCAAAGTGTAGTACTACAAACTGAAAAGATGGAGTAAGATAGGAGTAATTAGTATCTATGTAATATGCAAATATATATGCATAGGTACTGGGGAAAATAAATTGTCAAAATTGTTGTTGGCTGATGTGCGATTGTATGTATTTATATCATTCATGGTGTTCGCGTTAAATGAGTCAATCGCAACATATATTGCTCGGATAAATTTTAACTCAATTCCAAACTACACTTTTACCATTCGATTGATCTTGAGCCATTCTTTGCTTAGATAAAATTGAGTTAATTTCAAAAATATATCGCATTTTCTCAATTGATCTTGAGCTTATCGTTGTCCCGTCGTCTTAAGGTTAACCATCCTGTCCCTTTAATTCAGTCTGATTTAAATTACTAAATTTATCTATTAAAACTGCAATATCTCCACATTTATCATATAATTTTCGAAGTTCTTGGATTTGGAAGAATTTTCAATTTAAAAATAGTTTAGAAAAGACTAATTCGGTGCGGTCAGAACGCTTACGAGTTTTTTTTTACTGTAATAAAAAAAATGCAAAACTCTTTAAGGGGTTTAAATGGGTGGGTTTCACTGTTCAAAAAAAAAATTATATCTTCATCTCGGAAATAATATCCTAAACATTCAAATGCAGTCGATTCGAATTAAAGTTTCGGAGGTAGCGCTTCGGGGAAGTAAGTGCACTTTAAACGCGTTTTTCTGTTCAAAGACAAAAAAAAAATCTTCTAAAAATCCAATTTGTACTATCTTTATCTAACTAGCATATGACCTTAACAAAACACGATTTGCCATTTTTACACTTTAGATGATCCTGTCAAAAATTCTACTGTCACTGTCAGGAATACTACTGTCACATTTACGGAGTTATGAATATTCTCATTTGAAAATTTCAGAAATTCTTTTTTGAATGTATATCTTTAACACAGTACAAATAGTTTGAATATACAATTTATTTTTTAAATAGATTTTTTTTTAAATAATTTTTTTTTTTTAATAATTTTTTTTTTTTAATAATTTATTTTTTTTAATAATTTATTTTTTTTTAATAATTTATTTTTTTAAATAATTTATTTTTTTAAATAATTTTTTTTTTAATTAATTTAAAAAAAAAAAATCTTTTAAATAATTTTTTTCTTTTAAATAATTTTTTTAAATAATTTTTTTCTTTTAAATAATTTTTTTTTCTAAATATCTTTTTTGACAAAAAAAAAGACAATGTAACACCTTAATTAATTCAATTAAAACATTATTCGAAGCGTAGTAATTTATCTATGTAAAATCTTTTTAATTTTCCAACAATCGTTCGCTAATTCAATTAACTTTCTATTTAACTATTAATTTATCTAGTTATTATGGCAAATTTAAATAAAATACCTACAAAATTAAACATTCCAACTATTATCGATAACACAGCAATCGACCTAACGATTTAATATCGTGATTACTTGACTAAAAGTAAATGATGCTTAGTAACTACAGTCAAACCTGATTAAGAGGGAACTGGGTAAGTGGGAATAATTCTGAGATCCCAGACACTGACAAACATAAACCTGTATAAGTGATGAGTAATTTTTTCTCACCCTAACCTCTATGTATGACTGCGAGCCTCTCTTGCCTGTATTTCTATAAACGACACTTTAACATTTGCAATGCTTTTTTGAATCTGTATGCCTAAGGCATTCTATATTTTTCAGTTCAGTTCATTTTTCAGCAGATTTGCTTTTGTTTTCTGTCTGGTTTGAAGAAATTATTATTATATTATATTATATCCAAAACTATCTCCACTACGATTAATAAATATCATTAGCAAATGATAGTAAAGGATGATTCAGTATAGACATTTACTAAAAATTATTATTTTGCGCTCGCGGGGCAAGGGTTCCACGCTTTGAGGCATGCTTGTCGTAAAAGGCAAATAAAATCAAAAAGTGCCCACGACTCTTAGGTCTTTACACCGGAACAACCTGTCAAGTACCGTCACTCCCGCAACATTTCCTAAAAAACTGCTTTGGAGAATGCTTTTGCGGTTACTACAAAATCAACAAAATTATTTTTATTTTTTATAAACCAATCACTTCAATAAGATATAGTTTCATTTTTTTTGTAATTAATATTTTGAAACCTCTGTAAGTGAGACAGTGTCCTTACGTGGCGCTCTAAACTAGAAACAAAAAAAAATCACAAGTCCTTAAACTCTCTCCCTTAACCAGGTTTCACTGTGATATAAATTTGATGTATTTTCGGTTTTTGTAAAATATTTTTTGCATTACAGATACTATTTGAACACATTTTCGCTTTATGTGCATTCGATTTTTATAACGGAGATTAGTGAAATTTGCTCAAAACGTAGATAAAACACTTTTGCTTCGCAGCTTTTAGATACACTATTTTGCTAAAAAAATTTTTTACACTAGTTTTTCTTTTATCTTTTTTTTTTTAACACAAAACACACGTCAGCCAACCACAATGATGCCAAAGAGTGCTGAAAGTAAACAATTAAAAAATTAGTAAATAATATGAGGCAATATTGAATGTTAAATAGATTTTTTGAGTCATTCTTTTATAGTGAGAGAGAACTATGCTTGCGAATAATATACGAGTTGTTGAATCAATTTTTGGCAGACATAACCTACAAAAATTTTTTTTGGTTTCGAAGAAAATGCTTGAAATTAGCGGTTAATTTACAGCTTATTTTAATCAAGTGTCAATATATCAACTCATTTAACGAGCATAAAGTCGGATGAAATATGAGTTTTGCTTGAAGCTAATTGATATTTCAATTTAGTTCAATTCAGAAATAAATTTAACATTTCCACAGTTGTCAGGAGAATGAAAATGAAAGTGTAGATTAAAATGCTTCTGCGCTACTTCCAATGAGTTTGAACCAGAAAAAAGCTCGTAGAAGAAGTCAATTTTGTGAATGAAATTAGCCATATGGCGAACATTTATGAGAAATTATCAAATTGAATGCACATCAATATCGTAAACTCTGAAAGCAGAAAAATGCTGAAAATGTGAGAAAAAAGTTTGGTTATGGTAAAAGGTGGTAACATTGAAAGCGTAACAAGAATTTGAATTTGAAATTACCACTCAAATGCTCCTTCTTTATATCCGGTAATCCCTTCCTACGACGTTCACGTTCATGTTCACGTTCCTTTTCCTTATCCCTTAAACTGCTGCGTTCACTACGATCACGATCACGATCGCGTGAGGAGCCGCGTCGCCTATAAGAGCCGCGTGGTGATCGGCTGCGCGAACGAGATCGCGAACGCCGACGGCGACCACGATCACGAGAGCGGGAACGACTGCGGCTGCTGCGACGACGAGAAGACTTGTAGCGATCACGGTCGTGGGATGGTGAGGGGCTGCGTGAATCGTTGCCATCCAAATTGATAACCTATGATTTAGAAGTATAGGAGCGCAAAGTCAAGATATATATATGTATGTATTTTCGTAAAAAAGAGAATTAATAAGAACTAAAAAATAAATGAATGGAATAAATGATGAGGAAAAGGAGTAAATGATCGCAGAAAATTTGGAAGGAGAAAAGTTTGGGATAGGTTGAATTTAGTACAAAAAAAAAAAAAAAAAATAGGATTAATGGTTAGTTGGTCAGGTGGAAATAATTTTTAAATGGATTATTTAGAAATTGATGAAATGTTGGTTTCTACGCAGTTGAAATAAATAGTTTAAAAAATTAATACTGTTACTTCAATACGCTAGTCCTTAAGGATTCGCTGCAGGACGTGGCATATAGTCGTGTTGACGTGTGTCTTTTTGATTCGTGTACTTTCTTTACCGCATATGCAGCATAGCTTTTGTTTCATTTACGTTTTTTGAGCAAATTTCACGCTTACTTTTTTCAAATATTTTTTCTTATATACATAAAACGATCGATTTGGTAAATCATTATTGTTTCTAAATACATATTTCTATTTGTTTTTTTTTTTTTGTATTTTTTTTTTTATTTTAAAGTTAAACAAAAATTGTGTAGAGTTAACTTACCAGCAGCTCGCTACGCAAACGTTGTTATACGTCTCACACCAAGTCCGGCGGAATTTCAACGGTGTTTAATCTTACCTTTTCAACGCTTACGCGCATGCGCTTAAGCCGTTGGATGGAAATTCCGACGCCACACGGAGTAAACAAATTCAATTCGAATTTTATTTTTTTTATATATATAAGTATTTAAGTGTAAAGTTGGTCTATCATATTTAAGTCAAAAATAGCCAGTTATTGCATTTTGCTTTTCAAGAATAAAATTTACGATTGTTTCATGCTACTCTATTTTGTCTCTCTTAAGAGATTTGTCCCCGTTTCAAAATGGGTTATTTGTATAAGTTAAGTCAAGAAAAATATATTTAATATTATTTTTTAAATTAAAATTTTTTTCGCCTATTTTTCTTTCGTTTAAATAAATGCTGGAGAAAAAATTATGTTATATTTTGGCTGCCCGCCCATTTTCATATAATTTTATTTTTCGGGATGGAGTTTTATATCATAACTTGATTGGTCGAATTGAGACGATTAAATTTTGAATTTTCAACAAATTGTGTTTCTTTTTTTTTTGCAAGTTGTGCAGTGAAACGTTTTAAAAACTATATTCTCACATCATTTGTTTTGCTTTGGTATAACAACATCAGGTATTGGTGCTGATCAATCGCTCAGTGATCGCGTTGAGTTTAATTTTATTTTTTTTTTTTTGTTAATTTAATTCTATTTTAATCAACCGCACGTCAGCACATGAAAAACGCAATTTTTATGGAAATTGAGTAGACGAAATTTTAATTTTAGATTTTGCCAGTTAAATTGCTTCTATTTACAAAATTTCTACTCAACTTGCATAAATAATTACGCTTTACTGTGTCAAATGAAATTTATTGCAACGTTTAAAAATAAATAAAACATCTAAAACATTACAATAACACAAAAATTATGTAAAAAACATATATACCTCAATTTTTTGCTCAACTGATACGAATTCCACTTCTTTGTTGAATTCATTCGAATCAGCGGTGACGCCATGTACAGCAGCTTGTGTCTAAAAAAAAAAAAAGAAAGAAATAAAAAAAATTGCAAAAAAAAAAAAGTTTTGTACAAATACCTTTTTAGTAGATGGTTATATTAATTACCTTTAACACAGTTTGTAAATGCTTTTCAAATTCCTTCTCCTGCATGCGCATTTCGTTCATTTTGTATTGCTGCTCTTCTTGCTGCTTCATTTTTTGAAAATTTTGTAATGTTTGTAGTTGGAGTAAGACATTCGGATCGTTAAGCAGCTGCTGCAAGTTGTTGTTCTATAAATAGATATTTAATTAAAAACGGAACTTAAAAAATGTATAAATTAGGCAACAACAAAATAATAATAATAATAATAATAATTTTAAATAAGTGACAAAAGACAAACAATTTTGAATCTCAAAAGAAAGGTTATAGATTTAACTAATCACTGTTGGAAGCTATTGCATCAAATTAGAAACTTATTATACGGAATCAGTTAAAAGAGATAAGTTACAGAATAATTTATTATTTTTATATAGAATTAATCATTTTGTATTCGTACTTTACTATAAAATAAAGCACGATGAAACAAAAATAATTTAAATAACAAAACTTGAACCAATCAACGACAAACCATGAACAAAATATGAATGTAAATAGGTTGAAATTGAAAAGATTTACATCGATTATTTTAGATGCATGCTTCGGTGAGTTAGTATTTTCTGGACCGTCATCATCTTCGATTATGACTTCATGCGTGGTTTTCGAATACTTTGCATATGTTTCAGCATGTTGTAACTTATTGGCACCACCACCAACACCTGATAATATACTGCTGCTTGCACCAACATTTCCGCTACTATTAGGATTCCGGCCGCTACTGCCAATGCAAGCATTGGCGCCGCTATCAATCAGGCGTGCATATTCATGAGCATCTCGATCTACACGAGAATCGCGCAACTCACGCGAGTCACGTACTTCACGTATGTCTCGAATTTCACGTGTTTCACGCAATTCACGGTGCTCGCGTGAATCCCGGGAATCACGCATTTCACGCAGCTCTCTGGATTCTCTTATCTCACGCATATCTCGTGATTCTCGCATTTCACGTGACTTGGTTGAACTAACGGTGGTCGCTGGTGCACTATGACGCTTTAGATATTGTTGCATATGCTCTAGTTGTCGCAATGTACTATTATCAAGCACATTCTGTGCTTTCTCGTGACTCATTAACTAATTTGTTAAGTGTTTTTTTTTTTTTGGTTAATTGGTTAAGTATATAGTTTTATTTGTAATTTGACAATTCATTAGTATGCATGTTTATTTCGAAATATATAAAGTTTAAATTTTATAAAAAAAAAAAAATGCGATTAGAGAATATCATTAATAACGCTGATATTTGTGAAGAAAAGGTATAACTTACCGATAAATCAGGCATGCCTCCATGCTTATCATCGCTGGAGCCCGAAGCATTTAAGTTTATTTCCATAGAGGTAGATGAAGTATTCAAACCGTTCGCAGCGCCAGAGGGGATATCACCAGCCGTGCCACCAGCAGCGCCTGGTGGCGCTAATTGGTAAATTGGATGATTAGGATCGGCCAAATCAAAAATTGGCTGTATGACTTCCGGCGCAAAAACATTATTCTTTTGCCACAGATTGAGCACACGTATAATACGACTTTTATCATCGGGAGCACAGCGAAATAGATTCGCAAATGTTTCTGTAATGTTACGTGCAAAACGTGGCGCAAAAACATCTTTATCGGGTCCAAATTGATGCCGTGATTGGCGTACTATGGAATCAATCACATAAAGACCGGGAACTTTATATTCCGGTTTGCATTTAAGTATAAATTTTTCCACACTCTGTACCACATGCTTATAGAATTTGATGGCTCGCATAGCCGATTTGGTGATGGCGGCCATTTTGGCCTTGGAAATAGGCGGTTTTTGGTCATAGAGGCTTGAGAGCTGAAAATAAGAAATAAGTTGATCTTTAGCAAAAGAAAAATATAGTAAATAAACTGTAAGGAAATTAAAGATAGGGGAAAAAACAATAGTTTTGTTAGTCAATTTAATTTTTTTTTGCTAATTTGTTTAGAATTCCACTCTGAAATTGTATATGTTGAAATAAAAGTTTTTAACCGGTTTGTATTGATAAAATTCATAAAAATTTTGAGAATTAGCACGGTCATACTAAAATTTATAGAGCTTAAGATGTCACTGGTTCTGAGTTCAACAATAAAATAGGCCATAAACGGAAAAAACACTACATTTTTACGAAACATGATAAGGACACGGCAATACCAATGACCTCGAATACCCTCCAAAAGATCTCCGAGTTTAAAAAAAAAAACTTATTTTGATGCACATATTAATCTTCCTTTTATAATTAAATTCTTACTAAGAAAAGTGAGTCAAGTGGCTGGCGGGAATTTATCTGCAAACAGAATGAAAATTACGCAGAGGCAAGAACATTTTTTACACAACCATCAAGGGTGGGTAACGAAAAATGTGAGCGCTGCCTAGATACACGTTCAATACTATCGATGCATTGCAAAACTTGCATTGTTTCGCTAACTTGTAATAGGCGTAGTCTATTCACATTTTTAATTAAGTTCCAGGAGCTCTTTTATTTTTTTTCAATTTTCATAATCGATCTTTTATCAATTTATCTTAGTTTTTACTATTTACGTAGCACTTTTTAATTTTTTCCTGAGCTACTTACCTCATTATTAAAGGCGACGACGTTTTCCATTTTGCACGAGCACTATACACAATGAGCTCCTGCTAAATTTCTTCTTTTTTTGTTACTCACAATGCGTAAATGTTTTACTTCATACCACTCTTTTTGCACTGATAAACTAAATAGTCGAAGTTTTAGTCTACGATTTAACTTGTTTTCCGTTAATATGTTTTTATATTTGTGGAATATTTTCACAAAACTGCATTAAATTTATTCGTGCGACTATAATTTCGGCAAATTTTAACACACACACAAGTGCAGTGATATTGAAAAGCAAAATGGCGATTTTTCAAGTTTCCTTTGCCGACATTTATGTCAAATTATTGACAGTAGGTGGCGCTGTGACCAAACTGCACAGGCTTGCGTTTATGTATTTTGCCAAAAGCATGTCAATTTTTAAATATAATAGAAAACAAACATATTTTGGAATAGTTCAATGTTTGATATTAATTCAATTATCAATTCGGTTGCCCGTCAGCTGCTGCTTTATTAATTGATATATATTTTAGTTATCTCTCTGTACCAGCTTACGCCGGACATCTATCGACTGTTTTATTAACGACAAATTTATGACGCAATGTCCCTTTGTGAGTGAAGAATTGTTCACGGTACTGACTATACGGACAACGTAAAAATTGTCAACAAATTTTGTGAAGATGATAAACAAACAATAACTGCCGTCAACATCTGTAGAATCAAATTGCATCCAAATATTTGCCGAACTCGCAATAAATAATAAAACAAATTAGTAAAAACTACAAATAATTATTATGACTGGTCATCGTGCACTTGAAGACTCGGATTTGGCTTTAATTAGCCGTGTGAAAGTGACACCTTCTTTGTATGATCCCAGAAATCCCGATTTCCGTTTAGCTTATCGCAAAGAGCAAGAATGGGAAATAGTTGGAAGTATGGTTGGAATGACAGCGTCGGAAGCAAGACGACGCTGGACTTGTCTACGTGATCGATATTCTCGTGAACTGAAGCAGTTGCGTTTGCATCCGGAGAAGAATGAATATGGAAATAATCCATTTTTTCGCCAGATGGATTTTCTAAGGCGATATGTTCGCAAACGGAGGTTAATAGTTGACTTATAGTATTTTCAGTGGCGTAAGAATGGGCGAAGCATCCTTTTATTACGGCGTACGGTCGCACGAGCTTGTTACATTATTAACAAAAGCCCGCAAAATTGAGCATACAAAGCTACAAGTTTAATATTCACGTATTAACAGATTTTTATTGTTTTAGAAACCGTCGACGAAATGGTTTTATTGAATTTGAGAATCAGTTTGCCAGTATCCAGAAGCAAAACAATGAAGAAAACACCGTACAGTACCAGAATAGAGCAGATATTACTGAAGTAGATGAAGAGGATGATTATAATTTAGAAAACTATGATGGACAATCGGACACATATGCAAGTAAAGTAGATGATACCACAATGGAGTCTAACGATTATCCAGAATTTGTAGATGGTATGTTAATAGATAAGATTAAATATGTATTTGTATGTAGTCAACTATAGTTGTCCCCTATTGTTTAGTGGACGCAGGTGAAGAAGTTTATGAAGAGTGCGTCGAAACACCAAATTCAGAAGGAAAAGGCCATCAATCAACCAGCAATGCAAGTATCAATGTTGGCACGAAACCAATTAATGCCACGATAATGCCGATAAATATGCCACAGCAAAATGTAAACCGCACGGTGTACACCATTTCCTCTGGTCAAACTCATCATAATGCACCAACTACCAAATCGGATACTGCTCCATCGTCACACTCCACTGCATACAAACAACAACAAAACCATAGTTCATATGCTACACTACAATATCGGTCTCCTCATGATATAAAAACTCCATCACCGCCTCATGTATATTCAAATCAAACAGTAGCTGAAACTGAAGATGATCTTTTTGGTAAATCCATAGCTGTGTACTTAAAACAATTGTCCCGGCGACACAAAATAAAAGCACAAGTAGAGATGTTTCAAATACTTGAAAAGTATATTGAATTAGAAGAAAGTGCGAAAACCCGGATATTAAATATCAATGAGATGAATACTAAAAATGGATAGGAAGCTATTAGCTGATTTAAGTGTAATATATGTATGTGCATGTATAGATTATCTACATACATATATACCTACTTACGATTTTTTTTAACAAATTCTCTTAATACCTCTACTTGATATTTTATTATCGTAATTTTGGATAAATATTAGTTAATTATTTCATGTTGAATTGGTGGTTAAGATAAAATAAGAATGAATAGTTGAATAAAATCATATTTTACGTCATAATAAACCGAAGTGTTTGCTAACGATCATTTCAATTTTGTTTTTGATTTCGGCTCAGCGCCGATGCACTTATAATCCAGTTAGAAGTTTTCCTATCTGTTTACCAATTATCCTAGTTTATCATAAACACTATTTATCACTTCCACAGTAAGAGTTTGGTTAAATTATCAACTCCAGTTCGTTTTTTATTGTAATAAACCCTTTGAATTTCATACATATATTCCAATGAAATGGAATTCTTACAGAAGGTAAACAATGTACATAAACAATAAAAACAAGTATAACCTTATATAATAAATATTAAGAGTTCAGTTTAAATTGAAAAAATTTACTCTTATTTCCAGCGCCTTATACTTTCTCACGCTTTTCTATATCTTCCAAGGCTTTCAACATTTCTTTATCCCGCTTTTGTTGCACTTCTTTGATAGCTTTTTGAATCTCTTCACGATGCCCTAAACTCTCTGGCGGATATAGTTCACGACGCGTTTTGGTCACCCACTCTTCAAAGTAAGCCGGTTGATTGAAGATGTGGAACATAGCCACCGGAAACGACATGTAGAGCGTCATTTTGAAGACTTCCAATTGCCAGCCACCCATTTCAAATATATTCCTTTTATATATTGATAGAACTTATCGAAATAATTCAAAATTATTAATGCACATATGTAAGAAAATTATATTTTAGTAAATCAGCTGTTTATGGGACATTTTCAATATTTTGGGAAATATTGTTGTTCAAGTGCTGCCATCACTGAACAATAAATAGGATTTTTTTTCTCTTACAGGCCTATTTTTTATCACCCGAAATTGAAATTGAATTTGGTATTCTGGCTTCTTCTTTTTCCACATCTTCAATGAATTTCAAGCGTAAAATATGCCTACCCATTTCGGTTTTTATTTTTTGTCAAACTTACTTTACTTACTTTACTGGTGCAACACCGCTCACACGATTTTGGCCTATTTAACAACCCTGCGCCATTCGTTTCTGTTTTGTGCTGTTTGGTGCCAATTCAAAATACCAAGTACAGCCAGGTCATTCTCTACCTGGTCTTTCCAACGGAGTGAAATCCTTCCTCTTCCTCTGCTTCCACCGGCGGGTACTGCATCGAAAAGTATCAAAGCTGGAGTATTCGCATCCATACGGATCACATGGCCAAGTCAGCGTTGCCGCTGCTTCTTGATTCGCTGTACTATGTCAATGTCGCCGTATAACTCGTACAGCTCATCGTTCCATCCTCTGCGATATTCGCGGTTGCCAAAGCGAAAAAGGCTCTAAATCTTACGCAAAACATTTCTCTCGAAAACTCCCACCGCCGACTCATCCGATGTTGTCATCGTCCATGCTTTCGCACCATATAGAAGGACGGGAACTATGAGGGACTTGTAAAGTTTGGTTTTCGTTCACGGAGAGAGGACTTTACTTTTCAATTGCTCACTCAGTCAAAAGTAGTACCTGTTGGCGAGAGTGATTCTGCGTTGGATTTCAAGGCTGACATTATTTTTGGTGTTGATGCTGGTTCCTAGGTAGACAAAATTATCTACGACTTCAAAATTGTGACTGTCAACAGTGACGTGGTCCTGTGGTAGTGTCCTCGTTCACTACCAGACCCATTCGCCTCGCTTCTTCATCAAGCCTAGAGAAAGCAGAACTAACGGATCGGTTGTTGAGGCCGATAATGTCAATATCATCGGCGTACGCCAGTAGTTGCACACTCTTATAGAAGATAGTACCTTCTCTATTCAGCTCTGCAGCTCCACCCTGGAGAGGTCCTTCCCAATTCTGACTGCGCTTCTGGTATTGTGAAGCGTCAGCATACACAGCCGTATAAGTTTTGCGGGGATACCAAATTCAGACATAGCGGCATAGAGGCAGCTCCTATTCGTGCTGTCGAAGGCAGAGCACACTTAAATTCCAATCGTCGGGTATGCTTTCGTCCGACCATATTCTGCAAAGTAGCTGATGCATGCACCTTATCAGCTCTTCAACGCCATGTATGAATAGTTCTGCCAGTAGGCCGTCAGCTTCCGCCGCCTTGTTGTTTTTTAAGCGGGCGATTGCTATTCGAACTTCTCCATGGTCAGGTAACGGAACGTCTTTTCCATCGTCAACGAATGGGGTTTCGGGTTCACCATCCCCGGATTCTCATTTTCACTACTATTCAGCAGTTTGGAGAAGTGTTCCTTCCATAAATTCAATATACTCTGGGCATCGGTGGCTAGATCACCTCTTTGGGTCCTCCAAGAGGCCGCTCCAGTCTTTGTAACCTTCCGTAAGTCGTCGTATCTTCTCGTAGAATTTTGGAGCGTTACCATTGTCGGCCAGCTTCTCAAGCTCTTCATACTCGCGCATCTCGGCCTCTTTCGTTTTGTGTCTGCAGATGCGTTTTGCTTACCTCTTCATCTCTCGGTATCTATCAGATCCCACCCGTGTTGTGGTCGATCGCAAGGTTGCGAGATAGGCAGACTGTTTTCTCTCCACTGCGACACGGCAGTCCTCATCGTACCAGCTGTTTTGCGACCTTTACGAAATCAAATAGTTTCGTTTGCCGCTGTACGTAGGGAGCTTGAAATGCCGTCCCACAGGTCTCGTATACCGAGTTGCTGATGAGTACTCTCAGAGAGCAGGAGTGCAAGTCGAGTAGAAAATCGTTCGGCAGTCTGTTGTGATTGCAGCTTTTCAACGTCGAACTTTCCTTGTGTTTGTTGACGTGCGTTCTTCGATACACAGAGGTTCATGCGTATCTTTGCTGCAACAAGATAATGGTCCGAGTCGATGTTGAGTCCTCGGAGTGTACGCCAAGAACATTGGAGACATGTCTTCCGTCTATCACAACATGATCGATCTGGTTTTGTGTTTTACGATCCAGTGACAGCCAAGTAGCTTGATGTATTTTTTTGTGCTGGAATCTAGTACTATAGACAACCATATTTCGGGCCCCGGCAAAGTCGATCAGCCTTAACCCATTAAAGGATGTTTCGTTGTGAAGGCTTAATTGTCCAACAGTTGTACCACAGATACCTTCTTTGCCCACCCTAGCATTAAAGTCGGCAAACACGATTTTTACGTCGTGTCGGGGGCAGCGCTTGTAAGTATGCTCTTGGCGCTCATAAAAGGCATCTTCTGCCAAATCGTCCTTCTCTTCCGTCGGGGCGTGGGCGCAAATCAGCGATATGTTGAAAAATTTCGCTTTGATGCGGATTGTGGCGAGATGCTCATCCACCGGGGTAAATGTCAGTACTCGACGACGGAGTCTCTCTCCCACCACAAATCCAACACCAAATTTGCGCTCCTAGCTTTGCGCTATAGTAAATGTCACAAGAACTTACTCGCTTTCGTCCTTGTCCCGTCCATCGCACTTCTTGGATGGCGGTGATGTCAGCCTTTATTCTTACGAGGACATCAACCAGCTGGACAGCGGCCTTCCCAATTAAGGGACCGGACATTTCAGGTGCATGTCCTAAAATCGTGATACTTAATTCGTTTGCGGGGGTCGTCTACAGAAAGGGGGTATCTCATCCGAGGCGTTGTTAAATTTTTCAATGGGGCTGGTTTCTACGTGGCGGGTCCCAAACCCAGCGCACAACCTCGCTAGGCAAGTAAGTTTAACGTTTTTTTTTTACACATTTATATAGCGAGCCGCTTGCTTCAAGACCGACGCCCGCTCAAACTAACAACACAAAATCAAACAGCAAATTTTTTTGTTACCTCCTATTGCGATGGTAACAAAATTTACAGGGTGGCAGTGAACTCAGAATACGGACTAAGCAGCCCGTAAAACAAGCATATTTTTAAACGTTCTGTTGTTGTTGTTGTTGTTGTTGTTGTTGTAGTGACCACAAAAATACTCCCCAAATTGGCTTTCCATGAATATTGCGAAACTGACAGCCCATGACCGGATGAAACCACGGCTCGTTCTGGTATATTGGATCCCGTCTTACCTCAGGTAAATTCTCGAACCTCTAACGCGCAGGTCATTCCGGCATTGGTTGCTGAACGCTTTTCTTGGCGAATGGCGCGCGAAGAGGTCTTCTTAAAGTATTGGCATTGGAAAGCCTGTAACCTGTGGTTTGTTGATTTAGCTTGAGGTGGAAAAACGTTTCGGCTTAAATATTTCTCACATTCTTTACAGTATTCTTAAAAGTATTTAATTCTTCAAATAATATACAATTATTAGGGAAGTTCTTACGAGCTGCCACTGTACTATGCCAGACTTATTAGTGATAGGACAATGAGTTATATAATTAGCAGTCAGTTTTTGAAAAATAATTTCTATTGAATTTTTTTCTTCAACTGTCGGTCAATATTTTCTACATAAAGAAATTGAGAAATATTTTTTGAATAAAAAACACATAAAAAAATGGCCAAAGTTTATCGTCAGTACATTGCGGGTTTGGCTGCAGCGGGAGGAGCACTTGCATGCGGTGCAACGATCGGTTGGTCTTCGCCGGTACAAGAAGAGCTCACGGGTACGAATGACTATGGCATAACATTTACGACAAATGAATACGCTTGGATTGGGTCTTTAATGACTTTGGGCGCTGCTATTGTTTGCCTACCCGTCGGCATACTCATAACAACAATGGGTCCAAAATGGACTATGTTGTTGATGGTTATAATTTTCGAAGTAGGTTGGGGTTTGTTAATATTCGCACAGAATAAGATGATGATATATAGTGCACGACTTTTAACGGGAATGGCGGGTGGGTCCTTCTGCATTTGTGCACCAATGTATTGTACGGCGATTTCACAGACGGAGGTGCGAGGCATCATCGGCAGCTTCTTTCAATTGTTCATCACCACGGGTGTACTCTTCGGATTTACTGTGGGTGGTTTAACAAAAACCTTCATGTTCAGCATAATCTGTGCCATTCCACCGCTCGTTTTTGCGATAATATTTATTTACATGCCCGATTCGCCGATTTTCCTAATATCAAAAGGCAGATTGGAAGCAGCACAAAAATCCATGGAGTGGTTGCGAGGCAAGGATTTCGATTTTAGTGCTGAATTCAATGAAATGAAAGCAAATGATGCGAAAATCAAGGAGAATCCTGTTAATAAGGGTGAAGCACTGTGTCGTAAGGTAACGCTGAAAGCATTGGCACTCTCCATATCTCTAATGGTGCTACAACAGTTTTGCGGTATCAACGCAGTGATTTTCTATTCGACAAGCATCTTCCAAGCTTCGGTCCAAGGATTGGAGGCACGTTATTGTACAATTATCATTGGTGTGATGTTGGTGTTCGCCACAGTAGTTTCTCTATTCATCATCGATAGATATGGACGCATACCACTACTGCTATTATCATCAGTATCTCAATTCATTTCACTTGCACTCCTTTCGGTATATTTCTTTATGAAGCAAAGAGATGAAAAGTCTATAGAGAGTCTCGGTTGGTTGCCCTTAGTCAGCATATGCATTTATATATTAATGTTTTCGGTCGGTTTCGGTCCGGTACCGTGGGTATTTATGGCTGAAGTTTTCACCGAAGATATCAAGGGTATTGCTGGTTCGTTGTCGGGTACATCTAATTGGGCGTGCGCCTTCATAGTGACTCAAGTGTTTCCAATTCTGAATGATTCGATTGGTGGTGGAGCTTGTTTTGCTATATTCTCAATCATATCAGCTGTGGGCGCTGTCTACATCTACTTCTTCGTATTGGAGACGAAGGGTAAAACCTTTGCCGAGATTCAAGCTGAATTGGAAGGAAAAAAAGAGTGAAGAAAAAAATTAACAAGCGGCAGATCCGATTTTTAATATCTTTGAACTGTTTATCATGCACAAACCTTTATATATATATGTATTTTGTAAGCCCGGGTTTCATTTGCCAAATATATTGGTCTAATTTGGAATAAGTGTACTCTATTTCTGGGCGTATTATGTTGCTTATAAAGCGAAAAAAGATCTTCCTTATTTTTAGTTTTAAAAGGTCTTTTTATTATGATCAACGGTAAAGCTGGAAAGATATACATCACTCCCTGCGGGTTAGGGGCTCAAGAGTTTACCCGCGGTAAGGCATGTCTGTCGTAAGAGGCGACTAAAATCCAATAGTTCCCGCGACAGTCGGGTCTTCATACCGGACCGACCCGGATTTTTATCCGGCCAAGGACTGTCACTCCCGCAACATTCCCCTAAAAGAACTTTGGGGAATAATTTTGCGGTTATAACAAAAACAACAAAGATATACATCAATTTTCTACAATACCCTCAATATGAAGGCTCCTCGCACTATAAAGTCATCTTACAGATCACACTTAAGGTCAATCCTTGCGCGTACCTCTCATTATAAACCGTGTTTGACTCGCAAAGATTAAGATAAAAAATGTTCGTAACTTGAAATTCGCTGTTATTTAAATAAAACGTGGCCGCAAAAGCCGAGTGGCTAGCATTCGGAACCCCAGGGTTCGAGTCTTGGTTCGACCTACAAACAAAACTATAGAAATTAAATTTTTCTAACTACGGTCGCCGCATTTCAGAGAGTATCAAGCTCTCCGAGAGATACATGAAATAAAGGCTCTTCTATCTTCTGCTCGTAGGGGGCTTCGAAAAGACTGTATGTTCTTCTATTTGTTGGAAAGTCAGCAAGAATATAAATCGGAGGAAGAGTTCGTCCGAATATATATATATATATATATATATGTATATATGTACGAGAATATATAACCGTGGTTTTCAAACTATGGCGCTTTCATCCATCTGATCCTTTCACCAAAGAGGAGGTCTCTCTCTCTTCCTCTGCCTGCTAGAAAATGTATCCGTAATTCAACTTTTCCAAACTGGGGTGCTTTCGTCCATCTAATTCTTTCACCTAATGGGATCTGGTCTCTTTCTTCCTCTGCCCGCTAGAAAATGAATCAATCCTTCAAAATTTCCAAACTGGGGTGCTTTCGTCCATCTGATTCTTTCACCAAAGAGGAGGTCTCTTTCTTCCTCTGCCCGCTAGGAAATATATCCGTAATTCAACATTTTCAAACTGGGGTGCTTTCGTCCATCTGATTCTGCCCGCTAGTAAATACATCCGTCCTTCAACATTTTCAAGACGGGGTGTTTTCATCCATCTGATCCTTTTACCAAAGAGGAGGTCTCTCTCTTCCTCTGCCCGCTAGAAAATGTGTCCGTAATTTAACTTTTCCAAACTGGGGTGCTTTCGTCCATCTGATTCTTTTATCCAAGAGGTCTCTCTCTTCCTCTGCCCGCTAGGAAATGTATCCGTCCTTCAACATTTTCAAGCCGGGGTGTTTTCATTCATCTGATTCTTTCACCCAAGAGGTCTCTCTCTTCCTCTGCCTGCTAGAAAATGTATCAATCCTTCAACTGGGGTGTTTTCGTCCATTTTATTCTTTCACCTGAGGGGAAGGAGGTCTCTTTCTTCCTCTGCCCGCTAACCGTCCTTCAACATTTTCAAACTGGGGAGTTTTCATCCATTTCGAACGACTTAGCGTGTCCTTTATGGCAACTGTCTCTTTACAAACTGAACCAATAGTGTAATGTCTTGGGTTGCTGGCAGAAAATAATCATTTCCGACCACTCCCAAGGTGAACAGCACGAAAAATTTTGCTTACTTACGCTCGCTTCTACACATAGCACCATCCTCCTACCCATGTTACAATACCGCAATTATCTTATAGTATTTGGGAAGATTCTTCTACCAGTCAAGTCACACGGTCCTGATATATATATATAACTAACCAGAAAATTGTGAACTGTGAATGAATTGGATAACGAATCTTTCCCAGCGAGCGCCCTCTCTTTCACCCTTAGTTGAAAGAATCTGATGGAAATCGACCTGGCTTCATTTGGTTTTTCTAATCAACGCCAAACAGGCAAAAGTAAAAATGAAATTTATTTCCGACTGTGAAACATTCCATTTCCATTTGAACTTTCCATTAGCCCTTTTCCCTCATAGAGTTCATGCACACTTTCTTATTACTCATAGAGAGTTCGGTTTTTGTAGGTTAAGAGCGCAGCCAGAATATCTTGCTTCCTTGTCCAACATAGTATAAACAGAGTTGAGGTCGCGGTTGTGGATTTATTTTTCTTTCCTTATGATCGACGATGACCTCCTACTCAGGTTCGAGTTGTCTTACATTCGAAGTATAATTGCCTGGTTTTCTTGTGAAAAATATACTATAAGTAGGCTAGAGCCGAATCTTGCTGTGTATTTATTTATAAGCCAAACACCGCAAACTCGCATGCGCACGAGGTGTGGCAATTAAGTAATGAGACTGATTATGCTGCCGGGATTGTGGCAACCCTGCATATTGAGCTAAACAATATCTCGTTGTTAATGTGTTGATGTTCCTGCTAACAAAATAAGCCACAAACAACATCAAAGGATTGACTGCGAAATATTGCTTCCAACTCAAGCTCGATTTAAATACTGCATACTTAAATAGAAACCCCACGTCGCGCCATTTGGTTATGCAACCAACCGATACGCCAACTAGTCGCCTCGGGGTAATTATATTTTCGATCAGGTGAATGTTCGTAACGTACAGCCAAGTAGGCGCCACGTTGACCATTCTTTAACATCTCACGTTCATTAGCTGGCACGGTTTTCATCGGCCCCTTAAAGTTGCCCATAAATCTCGACTCATCCTTGGAAAGGTCATAGGCGAAATCATTAGATTGTGCTAGTGATCGTCGTACGCGTGGCCCGGTTGTGATGAACGAACGAAAGAGTGATGTACGTTCGTTGACACCGGCGGTTGTGCTGAAACGCTTATCGCCGCTGGTCGCATTGCTCCTCTTGTTGCTGGTACTGGTACAACAACTTTTGCTTGCTTTACTGTTGTTGTCGTAACTGCGTCGACTGCTACAGGAGCTAACACTACTCGATATGGAGTTAATGGATCGCGTAGTGAATGCGCCAAAATTTGTTGAGGATTGTGTTTTTTGGTACTTGCTTGCCACTTGCGATGTTGGGTGGTGGTTTGTTGTTTTTGGACATTTCAATTTTGCTGACATCTCCAATGTGTAAATTAAAAAATATATATAAATTTATATGTATGAATGTATGCACAATAATATTAAATAAATTGAATTAAAATTTTTTATTTAAAATGTCAGCGGATTTTGATTGAGAAAATTGATAAAAAAAACCGTAAATAATTATGATTACCCAGGGTTGATTTGAATAACAGTTATATATAGGTTGTCAAATATCTCCCTTCCGCTTTTTTGTCTTTTGAATTTCGCGGCTATGTACAAAGCGCTACAGAGCTCGTATATGGCAACTCTATACATAATTTGAAAGGTCTTGATATAACCTACAAAACAAGGATATGCATGATTAGTTTGGATATTGCGTTCAACAGTTATAGACATGTAAACATGGAGTTCACTAACGCCGAAATTCGCGCTATTTTAAAGTTTTCCTTCGTTAAAGGCAAATCCGCTAGAGAAACGTTCCGTGAGATTAATGGTGTTTTGGGGGATGGTACTCTATCACTTCGAACCGCGGAGGAATGGTTTCGACGATTCAGAGCCGGTGAAAACGACACTATGGATGAGCCAGCCGGCGGAAGACCTGTGACGACAAATACCGATCAAATCATGGAACACATCGAGTTAGAGCATATGGCATCTCGTGACATCGTCCAGGAGATGGGAGTTAGTCACCAAACTATTTTGAACCATCTGCAGAAGGCTGGATACAAAAAAAAGTTTGATGTTTGGGTGCCGCATAATTTGACGCAAAAAAACCTTCTGGACCGAATCAACGCCTGCGATATGTTGCTGAAACGGAACGAACTCGACCCATTCTTGAAGCGGATGGTGACTGGCGACGAAAAATGGATCACATACGACAATATCAATTGAAAACGGTCGTGGTCGAAGGCCGGTGAATCGTCCCAAACAGTGGCCAAGCCGGGATTGATGGCCAGGAAGGTTTTGCTGTGTGTTTGGTGGGATTGGAAGGTAATCATCCACTATGAGCTGCTCCCTTATGGCCAGACGCTTAATTCTACCATCTACTGCGAACAACTGGACCGCTTGAAGCAGGCGATCGACCAGAAGCGTCCAGAATTGGCCAACAAGAAGGTTGTAGTGTTCCACCAGGACAACGCCAGACCACATACTTCGTTGATGACTCGTCAGAAGCTACGGGAGCTCGGATGGGAGGTTTTATCGCATCCACCATATAGCCCGGACGTAGCGCCAAGTGATTACCACCTGTTCCTGTCCATGGCGAATGCCCTTGGTGGTGTGAAGTTGAAAAGAGGCTGGTGAAAAGTGGCTGTCCGAATTCTTCGCAAATAAGGAGGGGGGCTTCTACGAGGAAGGTATCATGAAGTTGCCGTCTAGATGGAAACAGATCATCGAACAAAACGGCGCATATTTTAACTAAATCCGATCACTGGAAGGGAGATATTTGACAACTTTTATTTAGTAACCGCATGGTTAGCATTGCATACTGCCATTCGGAAGGCTCGGGCTCAATCGACGTACTCTAAGCCCAGGTTATTTTTTTTTCAAAGAGAGAGGGGTTTTAACTGAGCCGCTTTAAGAGGATATGGAAAGAGATGATGAGCGCTGTGTGTGACTCATTGCATACAAAACATACCCGAGTATATAAGAGGAAGAAGTCTCGCCAATTAAGAGCATGGTTTGCTACCATGTACAGACCTTAATCAAGCCGGGACTGCGGAGTTAGAGTGGAGTTTCTAATCTGTAAGACTTTCCAAGCTGTTGATTGCCTGTCTATGAATAGCGCTGAGGGTCTCTCTGTAAAACATTGCATCCAGCGGTTTTGTACAGTAATGTTGAATCCGTGTCGTCACGAGCTTCTTTTCTGACGTGCATGCCAGGACCTGCTTCAAGCAGATAAAGTTACATTTTGCTGCTTGACAGGCAGCGACATGAAAAAGACTGGCTTTATCGTTTCTCATCAGCATTTATGTATAATTGGCGCATTGTAATCGCAGTGGTGCTCCAATTTCTGTTAGGACTCTTGGTGTTTTTCCAACAATTTATTTCATGTCAGAAATGCAGGCCTACGGCTTGACATTCCCCGCCGAGGGGAGACTTCAAATAGAAAAATTAACTTTGCAATTAGTATTAGAGTTCGCTGACGACTTACTCCGCATGGTATTTAAAATCCATTCGTTGAATTTATTCGGACCAAAAGCCCCAATTTATGACTGCTCGATCAGTGGTCCACTTCTTTGAATGAATAGTTAGCACTTAAGGTCCTAAAGACAAGAACGCTCTATGTTCCAAATATTAAGCAACTTGAACCAAAAGTAAGATACGTCTGGAAGAAAAATTGCTCACCATGTGAATCTAAGCAAAGTGCTAACTTAGAACCAAATTTCGTGTCAACTAAACAATTTGAAAATAAATTTAATTTCCTGTGCAATGTCCACTTCCAGCATTATTTCTTATCGGATGCACACGTCATGTGAAGGACACACCCTGCAAGTTTGAGGTCTGTATGATCAGTAGTTTGTGGCTGTGGGTTGATCCATCAGGTATAATACAAATACTTACGTAGTTAATAGAAAAATAATAGAAAAAAGAAATATTAAAATAAAATGCACAGGAAAACTGCTTCAAATATGGCAACATCATATTTCTGTCACTTCACACGCTTAAGCCCGTTTTCACAATGCCTGATTAACTTAAGCCGGAGGATTGCTAACAGCCAGTTTTTTTTATATTATACAATATAATTTAGTTAAGTGATTTTTAAATATTTCCGTTTTCTATTCCATTCTTATTTTTATTTTCGGTTAATAATTGATAATAAAATTGTATTTAAATGAAATTCATTTAATATATTTTTATATGGAAAAAAAGTTGTTGATGGCTTTAAATTACATATATAGAATATTTGTAATTTTTATGGTTATAACCTGAAAGAAAACATCATAATTCATAAATTAACTTACGAATCTTATAACAATCAATCAATATTAGAAAAAAACATTCTCTGATTAAACTGGATCATACAATATCGTTTCCATGAACCTCAGCTATTTTTTTGCTGGCATCAACGGATGTTTCTGCTGTTTCATGTACTTGAACTTCTACTTCATCCAGATTAAAGTCATTCTGGATGCCAATATTGTGCAACACACCACAAGCGACAATGATATTTATAATTGTGCTAAGTGAACCTCTCAATCCTCTCTATGCAATTTCGAAAACGAATTTCATTTCATTGTAAAGCCATTCTGGGCGAAGATTGGGAATGTAAAAGTTAAGACATCATGTAGTTGCTGACTCCGTAACCATTGTCGACCAATGAAGAGTAGTCCTTAAATTTGTTTCGCACAACTTTCATCTGCATCCTTCGCTTTTCGGTAAAATGTGCGCATTGTGCTCTCAATTTCCCTGCTTGTTTTCGGTATTCTGATGAATGATTGACAAGCGCCGCTATAGTAATGGGCACTATTTACCATCCGACGTGTAGTCGCCACGTTTTTTTCGCACAACTCAGCAACACAAATTAAAATACTTCCCGATGCATGAAAACGTAATGTTAACAGCGAAATTTCCGCTGGTTAAGTGCTTGATTCCGGCAAAATCAAATAAATTATCAACAATATTTATTTACTCTAAGCATATAATTTTCACAAACCTTTCAGTGCGGCTTCTAATTTTACTCTCTATTTTCCCAAAACGTATTTTACTCTAACTTTGGAAGGACGAAATCTAAGAGTAAAAACTAGTTCGTCATATTTCTCAAAAAATATAATTTGTGTTCATCCCTATAAATACGCTTCTGAATCAACGCAGCCGGATAGTCAGTGCTTTTCTAATCTCTCAATTGAATTTATTTCAAGTTTAACACCGAAATACTATTTTATTTATTATTTTACCATTTGCAGCTATCAATTTATTTTCTGCTTAAACTACAGCTAATCGCCACTCAATGTTGGCGTTAAGTTAACCGCAACTTAATTGACAGATGCGCCTTAACCGGACATTGTGAAAACGAATTTTATACTACCTTCCGATTAAGTGTTTAATCGGAGATGGTGAAAACGGCCCTTAAAGTAATAAGAATTTGAAGAAAAGTAAGAGAAAACGCCAAAACGTAAATTGGAGCGTTCGGCGTAGCGTTTATTTACGCCAATGAGTTTTGTTGTTTTCTCTTTCTCTTCAAGTTCGCATTATTTTAAAAACGTTTAATAAATTAATACGAACTTAATCGGTCGGAAAAATTGTGCCTTTACCTGTTGAATAAACTTTTCAGTGAATACGAGTATAACTATTTTATTTTCAAAATATTCCATTTGCTCAACGTTAACGCCACGTTATTGTGGAATGTCCCATACAAACTGTATGGCCATGAGGATTTTTCACAGTTGTTTAGCGTTCAACGCTCCAATTTAGGGATATCAGTTATTTTCGGAACGCCCCAATATAGGTATGTCAGTTAGAGCTAATCGCCACTCAATGTTGGCATTAAGTTAACTACAACTTAATTCGCAGAGTGTCAAAAATTTCGAAGTGAACCAATGTACCTTTAAACATTGTATAATGGAGAGAGATACTGGTATTAAAAAATCCAATGTAGGCGGAAAAAACTCTTCGTAAAACACCACGAGCAACACAGAGAGGTTAAATTGAAGTTAAAAATCTAGACTTTAGGCCTATTCTTACTGTTACCGGTAGAGTAAATTTTGTTACTTTTTTAACACCCCAAATTGAATTTGGCATTCTGGCGAAAGGGTTACAATGTTTGACAAAACTTTGGCAGCACTGATTTTTTTCGTCAATGTCAAATTACATGTGCCAGTTGGTAAAGCAAAAAGAAGAATATTCGCATCGAAATGGAAGATGGTGCACTTCAAAATAAATAAGTTTTATTTATGTGTTTATTAAATCATAAATAATTGAACTTAATTTTGGAAAATATGCCAGAACGACAAAACAAAGGCGAATGAAAACGCTATCGCAAACTTCTTAAAAATCACCTTTTTACATTTTTTTCTTCATTTCCAATGAATTCCAGGCCCAAAATATGCCTACTCATTTTGGTTTTTATTTTTTCTTAAACTAACAACACAAAATCCAATAGCAGATTTTTTGTT